GAATCTGACGTGACATGTTCGTACGAACCCTTTGTACGAACAAAAGTAGGAGAAATTTAGGAGAAGAATACGAACATGTTCTTACATGAGGCCCAATAATCCCAACACCATGTGTTGGTCTCATGGATGAAGCAGGGAAGTAGTTTGTTCTTTACAAACCTCAGGCTGTTGGTTGGAGGAGCTGAAGCTGCTTCAGAGTCACTTTGTGCAGCATCAGGTAGATGCTGAAGAGCAGAGGAGGAAGGTGAACTGGATGTGATGGAAACATGCCAGTCTGGCATCGGATCAGATGTTTCTCTTCTCTTCATGTGAGAATCTTTGAAGAGACTTATTTCATTACTCGACTTAGCAGAGACTTTTATTCAAAGTGATTTAGAAGTCAACAGGAACTGGAGAGTTAATGGAAATAAATGAGTTTTATGACAACAGACGGATTTGTCTACTCATGTGACTGGTCATATAAACTGAGTGATAAAAGCACAAAATCTAACCAATGGAGGAATAAAAGAAGTGATTCATAAACAAACTCCTTTTTTTACATGTGATGCAGTCCCTGAGCGCTGAGAACATCTCTGTTATTTATCTTCTAAGCAGTTCATCAGAGTGTATCAGTGTGTGTAAAAGATGCTGTTTTTACACCCTGAGGTAACGGTGATCTTTATTTTAAACAGCGGACAGGTTTTGGCTGAAAAGATGTCTGAGTCTGGAGGGCTCCGGCCTGATTTCTCTGGTCTGATGTGGTTTCAGAACCAGAATCTTCCTCAGAGGTTGGAGAAAGTTTAGCCTCATCTGTAACCTTCAGATTAGTGAACGAGGCACCTGTCCACTTGATGATGTCATCGCCCCACCTGCAGCTGGTCAGGCACCGTTTTTATGTTCTGTTCTGAAAACACCTGTGGGAGTGCATCACCCACTTACAGAAGAGCCTTGCTTTCACCAAATTACATTATAACCTTCGGGCATAAAATACCATAAAACACCTTAAAAAGTACACAAATTAAATGAAGWWCTGCTTTTGAACCCTTTAGAGTAAATTCACAAGCTTGGTCTCTTTTTAAAGCTAATAATCAGAATTCTTAACTTCAGCAGTCATATTCTTTGTAACTGTAACTAGTATTTAGTATATTGAAGTAAAATAC